AGGACTCTCTGTGTTTTGTGCGGTTTTGAAGGCATATTCGGCGCCAATTCGGGTCACAATACGAAACGCTTGATAGAGAGGACTGTGGAGTAAAATACCAGTCATTTTGCACTCGTATTGATGGAAATCGCGAAACCCTCTGTCATGACACGTGCGGTCACAGAACACCACTTCTGAACACCAAATACACGGCCAGAACTTGAAGCCAACTCTTTTGAAACAAGTGCTGCAAAACGATGTCATGTTTTGCGCCGAAAGGACAGCGGTTTCGGGCTTTTCTGCGAGCACTACATCTCTACTCTTAATACTCTCTTTGGCCACTAAATGGCGTCCTTTCTCTGGAGTGCACTTCAACTCAAACTTCTCGTGAATCCAGAGGTCGTAATCCTGTTCTCTCTCTTCTTCCTCTGGAACCGTTTCGCTCTTATAAGCGATCACTTCTTTGTTGAGAACTTCTTGTAATTCCTCCAATTTGGTGACCATTTCTGGCGGTCCCTGTGTTTTGTAATACTCTTTTGAGGACACGATGGCGTCGACCACACGTTTTGCTTCAGCGAATCGTCTCAAGAATCGCAGACAATATACTTTGTGTGACAACATCTCGACAGATGATCCCAAGAAGAGTGACTTTTCGGCGTCAAACAGGGAGTTGTCGTAATCGCCGATCCGAGCGAAAGCCAGCGATCGCGCGGTGTATGCCTTCTGGAGTTCTTTGCATTGAGTGCCAGTTGTGGGGAACGGGGCGTACAGTAAGGCCTTTGTATAGCAATGAATGGCATTCATATAGCTTTTAGACGCCAGAAGATTGTCGCCCTCTTCTCTGCACTTCTGACTTGTCTTCAAACTCTTCTCATGAGACTCTGCATAATTGCTGATCTTTTTGTTGATGTCTTCGCGAAACGCTTGCAATGGTTTGGCATTTTTGAAGATATAACTGATGCGACTCTCGTTGCTTTCCAACATGTCTTCAAACTCTTCTCATGAGATTCTGCATAATTGCTGATCTTTTTGTTGATGTCTTCGCGAAACGCTTGCAATGGTTTGGCATTTTTGAAGATATAACTGATGCGACTCTCGTTGCTTTCCAACTCCAGAAAGTCCTTGTCTTTGAGCAGTTTTGCACAAATGGCCACAAACTCAGAACTGTCTGAACACATCACTACTAATTGATTGATTCTTTAATCTTTAATTGATTGATAACTTTCTTAAGATTTAGACAATTTTGGATTTGATTTATGATTTGTTTGTTTTTTAACGATAATGTTTTTGAATATTTATTGAATACGCGCTCATATTATTGTTTTAGATCAGATCCTATTCATAAACCATTGTTTGAATGAATCAATTTGTAGTTTAATTGTTATAACATTTTGCATTCATTTATTCAAATATTTTATTATATTTGTGTTGATTGTAATCTCAATTAAATCCATGGCAAAAGACAAGGGAAAGTCTAAGAAAACCAAAAGTGTCAAAACAACTGAATATACATTTTGTCTTAAACTCGCTCTCTATTTCTTGGGCATTGAATCGATTATAATTGGCCTAATATTAAGTCAATTCTTGATTTATTGGAGTTTTGATTTTAAACCAGAAGATGATTTCTATAACCAAAAGCTATACATTCCTTTTCGCCAACAATTATCAGCAATTGACAAGTTTTGTCTCTTCACTATTGCCATGTTATACACAGTTGTCGCCAGTTTATCACTTTATGGCACATATCATAGAAATGATTTCATTCTTCGTCTCGCTTTTCATATACTTTTAATTAAATATTGCGTTCAGTTCTTCCTATTCTTTAAAGTTATTTTCATTATGAGATCCAAAGGAGAATTATTAGCGAAATCACAAACTGATGGACAGATTCGACTCATGGAAAGGTATTTACTGGCCATAAGTGTATTTCCTCTACTCATTGATTTGTTGCGAATGGCAAACATCAGTGACTTTATCGCTCAGATTAGAGATAATAAGAAAAAACTGATGGACAGATTCGACTCATGGAAAGGTATTTACTGGCCATAAGTGTATTTCCTCTACTCATTGATTTGTTGCGAATGGCAAACATCAGTGACTTTATCGCTCAGATTAGAGATAATAAGAAAGAATCCTTTAAAATGAAACTCAAAGAAAAGCGAATGAAAGACAAGACCACAGATACTCTTCAAAGAGATGACACTAAAGAATCTGTGATTATCGACAAAACTTTTTTAATTATTAATGATTAATAAATACTAAAATTTTATTTCTTAAATGTAGAATAATAAATAAATTCATTAATTATCAATTCAAATGTTACTATTGTTTAAAAATTAATTTATTAAATACATTACACATAAAAACATGTCTTGTGTTAGATTTGCAAAAATATTTGTTTACAGAGAATTCAGTTCATACAATACATGGTATCCTAAAGAATAAATTACAAAATATGTGTTTTTAGTGTAAAGATAATCACTGAATATTCAGTAAATAAAACAATCAAATAATCTTTTGTAATTGATGTTAATTTATATTAGTTTCACACAAAATACCGAATAAGTTATACATTAAATTGGATTTGAGCGCAGATGTGTCAGACGTGCCAATGAGGGGAACAGACATATAAATGCCAAGAATACGTAAAAACAGAATTAATAATAGGTGTAAACGATAGCAGGTGTGGAAGTGTTGAAAACTATAGATAATGTAAACATTTTTAGCCAAAAGCTATTATTTGGCAATTTTTTAAATATTTTTTTAACGCAAAACGAGCTAATTATTGATCTCTATATAAAACCATTATTTCCTTTCTTATAACACCGAAGCCATGAATTATATTTTGATTGTAAATTTTGCTTTGATTTATATTCACCCAAAAAGACATTCAATTTGATTTAAATTGCTTTACAATTGTTTTGAAAAATATAGTTCAAGAGAAATAAATATAAAATAACTTATGATTGAAAGCAAATTAAATAAAAGTGTTTTTATAAGGAATAAACAGCGAAAGTGAGCGAAAAGTGAATAATATGAGCTAAAAATGGGATTCAAATTTAATTTAATGGTTGGAGAGTTTGCGTTGCGATGAAGTTTGCAATCAATTATTATTAGATATGAAATGATTGTCGATTTATCAAATCTTTTCATTTCATACATTATTAATGAGAGATTTGTAGAGAGAATGATCTTCTAATGTCTTATCAGATAAGCAATGAATGCGTCGATTATTGATGAAACTTAAGGCCCTTTTTTGTATACAATTAGTTTATAATTCAAGAATAACTGGCGTTTAAATAAATTTTCGCAGAGTTTCGCAAAACACTAATTGAAGACCCGAGCCATCAGTTTTGGGTGTCATTAAAAGTGCCTATAAATTGAAGAGTGAGTCCCAAACAACACGCACTACGGCTATAGAGTAGACCCCAACAAATCTCTCTACTTTATAATAAGGACCCGTTTTTTTAATATATGAAAACCTATCAAAACTCAGTGACCGATCGAAAGTCATTATCAAAACATTTGTTTTTCCCTCATATTTATGTTTTCCATTTCTAAATCATTTTTTTCACTCTTAAGTGAGTAATTCAGTGCTGAATACTGTCTATTAGTATAGGAGAGCTGTGAATGTGAGAGAAATATATAAGAAGACTAATCGACTATCGGTTCTCTTGTTAGAGAGAGAGAGAGAGAGAGAGAGAGAGAGAGAGAGAGAGAGAGAGAGANTTGTATATTGTTTAACGTATGGTTTCATTTACGCAATTATAAAAGAGAGAGAGAGAGTCATGAGAGACGGACTTCTTTGAGCTCTGGGGTCGTAATGAGTATGTAGTGAACGGCCATCAGTAATAAAGGCTAAGAAGTAGATGTTAGACATTGGGTATAATTGTGATGAATGATGTAATTGATATGTTTTGAGGTGAAAATTATAGTCCTTTTGTTTGAATGGAGTTCTCTCTCAAAGACTAACCATTTCTCGTCGCTTTCTATCAAACAAATTATGATGACTTGGAATATATTTATAGTCTTATCGCAAACACAAGTGAAAAAAGCCGAGAATATATTTGAATTGAATGCAAATGAGTTTATTTATGATCTTTAATTTGGTTGCCTCTCACTGATGGACACTCCCGATAGACTGCGGCCAACACTAAACACATATCAAAGTATATACAACACAACACTCGCCGATCGCAACTACTCTCTAAACCACACGAATAAATCTATACCTAATGTATAGTTTTCAACGATCGCTAAACATTTGTTTTAATAAAATGCAAACAAGTCTCACAACTTCCCAAACGCTTTAATATACCGTATATTCTCTACACTTCTCTCTCTCTCTCTCTCTCTCTCTCTCTCTCTAACAAGAGAACCGATAGTCGATTAGTCTTCTTATATATTTCTCTCACATTCACAGCTCTCCTATACTAATAGACAGTATTCAGCACTGAATTACTCACTTAAGAGTGAAAAAAATGATTTAGAAATGGAAAACATAAATATGAGGGAAAAACAAATGTTTTGATAATGACTTTCGATCGGTCACTGAGTTTTGATAGGTTTTCATATATTAAACAAGGATCACACAGCGATGCTATACGTTAACCACAATTCGGGAAATGCAATATAATTGAAAAGTTTTAATAAACTCAATATAGACAGTCTATATAGAAGATGATGTCTAGAGATTTGTATATTATCTCTCTCTCTCTCTCTCTCTCTCTTTCTCTCTCTCTCAACACCAAAGCCTATGCAGAGGAGTTATGGTGTGTTTGCGTTTGTGAGCACTCCATACGCTGCACAGCCGCCAGTCCTGGGGGCCAATAGCTGCGGATCTGCTCCACCTCTTCGTCAAGTGATACCTCAAAGTGAGAGAACTCGCACTAAGAGAAGCAATAATTGCCAAACATTTACAGTGTATTTGTGTGACGACTACTCAGAGCCCACACTTCACTCACTGTTCTAATGAAGTTCTGTTTCTGACACTTTTTAATCACTGTTTTTGCATTTATTTTGTTCAGTTTTTTCTGTGGGCTAAACACAGCCGAGAAAATAAATTGAGATTTTGATTTCTCGCCAAAAATATGTGGTCTCCGATGACTCCAAACTATTTTTCTATCGATCGTCTCTTAAGCAACGATAAGACCAGCTCTGGCCTCAAGAATCCGGACAGACATCCGGCAGATTTTCCACAGTTTGTGCCAAATGTCGAACTTTTCAATAATGTGTTCTCTTCGGCCGCGAAGACTGGATTCGACGGTCCCTATCATCACATGCCTCAGCCCTCCAATACTCAGGATATGTTACCTTTTTGGCTCTTTTTGCCACAATATCTATCAATGCAACGATCACTGGGTTTGTGGTCACCCCCGCGATCACCCGATTCTAGTGGAGAATCTGCACCTGGTAATATATTTATTTGATCTAGTTCACATAACACTGTATTTCATTCTTAAATCAAAATTGCATAATTTTGCACTCAATTGAATTTAATGTTTAATATAAATATTAACTTTGATATTATATAAACATTATATACAATTTGTATGTAAAGGGTTTCTAATATTATCTAAACAACATTCATTGCATTTCGTTGTTATAATTCTTTATTGCATTTTTATTAATCAATGAATTGATTGAAATTCAGGAATTAAAATGTATTGAACGCTATAATGATATAAATGGTGTAGTGATGGAGAGAAACAAAAAAGTGTATGTAATTATAACCCATAGGAATTGTGCCGTAAAGCATAAGTTTTGTTTTATTATTCATTTAAATCGTTTATTTATTCAATTATAGTGTGTTTTCGCTTAAATACAATAATTACTCGAATGACTTGAATCATGAAATTTGTTAATAAATAATTGCTAAAAAATATTACCCACAAAATGATAGATTAGACGACAATTCAATTGAATAGCAACACAACTCAATTGAATTTAATGTTTAATATAAATATTAACTTTGATATTATATAAACATTATATACAATTTGTATGTAAAGGGTTTCTAATATTATCTAAACAACATTCATTGCATTTCGTTGTTATAATTCAGGAATTAAAATGTATTGAACGCTATAATGATATAAATGGTGTAGTGATGGAGAGAAACACATAAGTGTATGTAATTATAACCCATAGGAATTGTGCCGTAAAGCATAAGTTTTGTTTTATTATTCATTTAAATCGTTTATTTATTCAATTATAGAGTGTTTTCGCTTAAATACAATAATTACTCGAATGACTTGAATCATGAAATTTGTTAATAAATAATTGCTAAAAAATATTACCCACAAAATGATAGATTAGACGACAATTCAATTGAATAGCAACACAATATTTATCTCTGCATTTATTTTTGTTTTAATGTTTTACAAAAATATTAACAAAAAGCTTATTGTGGAAAATATCACGAATTTTTAATTTAACGCACAGTTATAAAACACAAATGAATTTTATTAACACCTTTTTATAATCTGTAATTATATTATTGTTAGTTTTTGTTATAGAAATTAGTTAATGATTAGTTTCGCAGACAAAACAGCAATAGTTTTTATTGAGTAATAGGTATTGAATCGATTGAGACTTAGATATGAGTTAAATATAGCAACGAATTAAATTGATTTGTTTTTAGTGCAAAATTAATTAGTTTTCAATTAAGAAGTACTCACAGAGAAGTGGATTGAGATTAAAGTTATCACGAATTACATTATAATCGTTGCAAATAATGTGTCAAACCATTTGAAAAGTATTACAAATAATATTTTAATATCTGGTATTTGTTAGACAATTGAGTAGAAAATTATAAATTCGCTATAAATGTTGAGAGTATTTAAATCAAGGATTAATAATGGGCTACAACTTGGTATGTAATTACAATTCAACAACTTTTCAACACTTATAAGTTATAACAATATATAAATATTTCAATTAAAATAAATTTTGTTTTATTGATACCATTTTATAAATCTGACACAAATTGCTTATTAACTAACTTATTATTTTAATTTTAATCTTTTACATAAAATCTACAATAAGTACAGTTTATAAGATCAAGAATATCCTTAACATTCCTGTTATAAAAGTAAACATTAAACCAACTTTTAATTTAGAAAAATATTTTTGACATACTGTACAGAATAGCCCAATGTTATTTTTATAAGTTATGTTAAGCCAATTAATGTTCTAAATAATTATTAGTAATAATTTCAAGATATAAGGAATTTCTATTTCTATGAATGTAAAAATTACAAATATCATCTACAAAGTTGTGGTTAAATGATCTATCTGTTTGAGAGCCTTGTTTCATATTCAATGCTATAATTGAGTTGGTTTTGCAATAATTAGCCACAGTTTTTAAATGAGCTCTAATTTTTCATATTCTTTACAATTAATCATTTGTTATTAAAAGTGAGGCCTATTTTGTCGCTTCCTTTCAAACAATGAAAGACTTCCTCTAATTTATTGCTTATAATAACATCTTTTTAGATGAATTGTCAGATTAGCTGTCATTCAATGAATATTTATCTTTATATCATTCATTCAGACGAAAGCTTTTATTAAGTTAAGTGTTTAATAAGAGTCGGATGTTTTTGTTTTAGGGACTCTCGTATACACACCAACCCATTCATAGGCAGAGATAAAGTGTTTGGGAACTAATAGTTTGTCAGATAATAAAACTTTATGGCAAATACTATCGTTATATTGGACTTTCACTCGAAATACTTGTCAAAAAAGTATACATAAAATGCCGATTATTCTGACGTTAAGAATTGTTTTGTATACCAATAGAGAAGTTAAGGCTTTCACTCAATTATGTTAAGAGAATTCTTCGCTCCAATCAATTGGAAATGTATTGAAAAGTCGATTCAATATAACATTCTTATCGTATTTAAAAGAGTTAACAATTATTACAAGTGATTATTGAACATTGATATCACATTTCTTTACAAAACATCAATCAATTCGAGTGTTGTTTTTGTCATTCAATGNTTTGTTTTATTATTCATTTAAATCGTTTATTTATTCAATTATAGAGTGTTTTCGCTTAAATACAATAATTACTCGAATGACTTGAATCATGAAATTTGTTAATAAATAATTGCTAAAAAATATTACCCACAAAATGATAGATTAGACGACAATTCAATTGAATAGCAACACAATATTTATCTCTGCATTTATTTTTGTTTTAATGTTTTACAAAAATATTAACAAAAAGCTTATTGTGGAAAATATCACGAATTTTTAATTTAACGCACAGTTATAAAACACAAATGAATTTTATTAACACCTTTTTATAATCTGTAATTATATTATTGTTAGTTTTTGTTATAAAAATTAGTTAATGATTAGTTTCGCAGACAAAACAGCAATAGTTTTTATTGAGTAATAGGTATTGAATCGATTGAGACTTAGATATGCGTTAAATATAGCAACGAATTGAATTGATTTGTTTTTAGTGCAAAATTAATTAGTTTTCAATTAAGAAGTACTCACAGAGAAGTGGATTGAGATTAAAGTTATCACGAATTACATTATAATCGTTGCAAATAATGTGTCAAACAATTTGAAAAGTATTACAAATAATATTTTGCAAACAAGCCTTTAATATCTGGTATTTGTTAGACAATTGAGTAGAAAATTATAAATTCTCTATAAATGTTGAGAGAATTTAAATCAAGGATTAATAATGGGCTACAACTTGGTATGTAATTACAATTAAACAACTTTTCAACACTTATAAGTTATAACTTATAACAGTATATAAATATTTCAATTAAAATAAATTTTGTTTTATTGATACCATTTTATAAATCTGACACAAATTGCTTATTAACTAACTTATTATTTTAGTTTTAATCTTTTACATAAAATCTACAATAAGTATAGTTTATAAGATCAAGAATATCCTCAACATTCCTGTTATGAAAAGTAAACCAACTTTTAATTTAGAAAAATATTTTTGACATACTGTACAGTACTGTAAAGTATAGTCCAATGCTATTTTTATTAGTAATGTTACGCCAATTAATGTTCTAAATAATTATTAGTAATAATTTCAAGATATAAGGAATTTCTATAAATGTAAAAATTACAAATATCATCTACAAAGTTGTGGTTAAATAATCTATCTGTTTGAGAGCCTTGTTTCATATTCAATGCTATAATTGAGTTGGTTTTGCAATAATTAGCCACAGTTTTTAAATGAGCTCTAATTTTTCATATTCTTTACAATTAATCATTTGTTATTAAAAGTGAGGCCTATTTTGTCGCTTCCTTTCAAACAATGAAAGACTTCCTCTAATTTATTGCTTATAATAACATCTTTTTAGATGAATTGTCAGATTAGCTGTCATTCAATGAATATTTATCTTTATATCATTCATTCAGACGAAAGCTTTTATTAAGTTAAGTGTTTAATAAGAGTCGGATGTTTTTGTTTTAGGGACTCTCGTATACACACCAACCCATTCATAGGCAGAGATAAAGTGTTTGGGAACTAATAGTTTGTCAGATAATAAAACTTTATGGCAAATACTATCGTTATATTGGACTTTCACTCGAAATACTTGTCAAAAAAGTATACATAAAATGCCGATTATTCTGACGTTAAGAATTGTTTTGTATACCAATAGAGAAGTTAAGGCTTTCACTCAATTATGTTAAGAGAATTCTTCGCTCCAATCAATTGGAAATGTATTGAAAAGTCGATTCAATATAACATTCTTATCGTATTTAAAAGAGTTAACAATTATTACAAGTGATTATTGAACATTGATATCACATTTCTTTACAAAACATCAATCAATTCGAGTGTTGTTTTTGTCATTCAATGAATTGCATACAAATTCCTTTTGATTATATTTACTTTTATGATTAGCCGTCAGTTGAAAGAGTTTCTAAGTGTTTGGGATGTGTTAACAATTGATGACATAATGCGATGATTTGCTATTTAAATATATGTAAAGAAAGCGAAGGGAGAGTGAGATTTAATTGATGCCAAAAAGTTAATAGCGATAACAGGCGGCGATTGTCGGCCGGCGTCTCAAGTGTTGCAGAGAATTGAAGGCAATTATTATAATCAGTGCTCACGAGAGACAATGTCTTCGTACAAATACTAAGCGCTGTTTTCTCGTTATGTGTCTCCCATTTCCTCAATTATCCTAAACTAACTCTAACTCTAACTCTAAGCTATCGTCCGTTTAAACACATCTCATATCCGACACAACTATGTAATTATGAAACGCGGTGTTAAAAGCCATTGAATTCACGCTTGTTTTTATCCCTTTGAGGCCAATAATTGCAATAATAGTTTCATTCATGGGTTCTGTCCTATCGTTTACTTCTCACCTCTCAGTCAAAAACTTCTCTCCCTTTCCATCAGTAATTCATTTATTTAAAGGAGAGTTTCTTTTAGACACTGTATGTAAAGAACGCCTTCTTTTTGCATCCCTTCCAAGAACTTGACCTTCAGTTCAATAGAAGTTTAAACATATATTTGACACTTATTTTCAATAATAGCACTCAATGTTTGGCTCATTCTCTCGCAGGTCTACTAAACGGCGATTTCATTAACAGAAGTCAGCGGGACTTCCATAGGAGTGAACGCAAGGATCGCAACGAGACCTTCATTCACGACATCCACGACGAGCCCGACAGCAGTTCCAGTCGTGACAGCACTTCATCACAACAAACCCCAAATAGTGGTCAATACACGCCAACCGCTAGTCTCGAAGAGGACAAGACATTGTCCCAACCCATCCGCAGTCCATCCAGACTGTCGTCCGATGAGACCAATGAATTGGATGGCAAACAGAGCGGCGATAGTAATAATGACAATAAATCAGACCCTAATCACCAGAACCGCAGACGTCGGACCTCTTTCTCGTCGGAACAACTGCTGGAATTGGAGCGAGAATTTCACTTAAAGAAGTATTTAAGTCTCACAGAAAGGGCACAATTGGCGCATACGTTAGCCCTCTCTGAGTCTCAAATCAAGATCTGGTTTCAAAACAGAAGAGCGAAATGGAAACGAGTGAAAGGACAGCGAGTGGTCGGCGGCATCAATAATCACGGCCACGGATCCACTGCCAGCCATAAGATTCACGTTCCCATCCCTGTCCACGTGGACAGAGTCAAGATCAGGAGTCAACAGCAACAGATCGACAAGAGGTTCATTTCATCTCATTTCTAGTTATCAATTATAGTTATCTCGCCATTCATTTCGGCGTTTCTCTTAAGCTAAGCGTTTCTTTTGTCTAATGTTTGAACAAATGGTCTGAATTTATGCTCACATTTGCATATAATATACAATTTGTTTGAGATTTCCATATCTTTATTGATAGCAAATAATATTATTTTCCACTCTTTTTCTCTATTGATTATTCGGAACAAACTTTTGAACAAAACGTTAGATAAGAGCTCATTATCTTTCAGCTATTATTTGTGTTTAATTTAATTAGTTTTTAACGCTATTCCTAAACATCCACTTAAACCGCACGTTATTATCTTTAATGACCAACAAATTTATGATAAAAATCAGGTTTTGTGTGGAAAACAATTACAAGATTATCGCCTCATATCAGACACAAGAGGAGAGAGAGAGAGAGAGAGAGAGAGAGAGAGAGAGAACAAATTGTATATTATATGCAAATGTGAGCATAAATTCAGACCATTTGTTCAAACATTAGACAAAAGAGGAGAGAGAGAGAGAGAGAGAGGCTTTTAAGCTGAATTACATGACAGACAGTCGACTAATTATTCATTCATTAAAAGTAATATACATTTAAAGTGAATTCACAACACATATAGCGCCCATTGAAGCGCAAGAAATAAAACAAGTCTGTAATAAACGAAAAATAAATTAAGTTTAAAAAAGTAAGCGTTAGATTGAAAATACAATTATTTATGTTATTTTGTGGCATTTATCCCATACAACAACTGTGTGTGTATTTGGGGGTACAGTATATACAGCGGTGTATAGTATGGAAAAGTTAACAAATTATTTTTCATTCTAATGATGTGTAGATTAGATCTGAAACCAAACGGCAAATAGTATTCATTCAGTTCTCAGTGGAAAAAATGAAAACAGAAAGAAATGTAGTAATAATAAAACAAAACTTAATTTTAAATTCTTTCAAACCTTCGCATATAATGGCAGTGTTTGAGGTTAACACTGCAGGTGTGAAACATTCATCTATCTATATATGATATTCACAAATAAGTTTTCTTTCAAACTCCGATTCATCTCTCGTTTGAATGGATCGGAAAGTCCTTTATTACGGATTTATGTATATTAAACCCCCGGCAAAGGCGGCCCCCAAACATGTTTGGCATCGCTTATGAGCCCTTACGAGCCATTTGATCAAAAAAACTAATGGTTTGGCGTTTAATCACGCCTTCAGAATATTTGCATTTCAATTAACAGATTCTCTCTAATTATTGCCTAACTTTTTACATCTCGCCATTAATTCTATTATTCAGCTCTAAATGTGTGTAAATATTGTCAAAACCAGAGGAGAGGGAGGGGGAGAGAGAGAACCTAAGTGTGTACAGTATCTATGATGATGATTGACTTGTAGTTTAATAAGTTATTAATTGATTGAAAATTTAATTGAAAATGCTTGTGAAGTGAGATACATGTAAAGCACATTATGTTAGCATTTTTATGACAATAAATAAATTGTTAGCTATTATTATAAATAATATTTGCAATGTTTAAGTAAATAAACGTCTACTCCTAAAAACTGATTGATTTGAGACATCAATCAAAATACTTGAACTCATTATTTAAACATTATTTTAAATTTGAATCTCGTATTGAAATCAAACATAAATGCAATTATTAAATGTGTTTTATTTTTTAAATTAAAATTCTATAATTATTCAAATTATTATTTTAATCGTGCGCTTAATATACAAAAGTATTGAATATTAAAATCTAGTTTTTGAGTTCAAAAAACTTTTCTTTCTGTTAGTTATTAATAACAATAATCATATGTATTGTGAGTTTCCTAACAAATTAACTGATGTTTTATTATATTTAAGGCAATATTACTTCCAAAATACATGTTTCTTATTAGAGAGAAACAAAAGTGCGAAAAGATTATTATAATAATATCTCAAACATTATTACAGCGACTCTATGGCCAGTCTATGGCCCGAAGCTGTCATTACTTAGCCATAAATTGTAGCCTAAACTACACTTTAAACACTGAATACTAGTTATATTATTGCCGATTATTTACTTACAAAACATTGTCTGTTATATAAAACAAAAACCTTGATTTTTTGAGCGCATATAAAAACAGATCAACAAATTTATAGTTTGGCACAAAAAATAAATATCACGATATAATTAACAAAATTAATAAATCATTTAATGAACTCTTTTTTTAATTACGAAAATTTATTTATTAATCGCTATTAATTGTGATAATAATTTTGTTTTACACCAAAACAAAACCCAAACTACTTTTCCCACTTCTATAGTCTAAACAAACTTTTCGCTGATTTTGATGTTTAAATAATGTTTTGGTTTGCAATAAATTTGTTATTTTATAAAAATCACATTTAATTGCATTTGAAATAAATGCCGATTCAAAACACTCCACCACTTATGAGACAAAATATAATTATTCATCAGTTAATTAACTTTTAATCGTATGCTATAATCAAATAAGTTTTGTTATAATTACGTTAACAAAAGGGGAAGAAAAATAACTTAAATTCTTTAATAAAATTTAATAATAATAAATAATGATTGCGTTAAAACAAACTACAGAGAAAGTTATCTATAATTACATAATAAATTTGTATAAATAATAAGCAAATAATTTTTGCGATACAATCGTTAATTTCAGTTCAGATTTCGTTAATTATAATACAAAATATGCAGAAAAATGAAACTTTTATTAAAATTATTATAGCTATGGATTGTATGGAAAAACTAAATTCAATCAAAAGTACAATTAAAATGGTAACAAAAGTATGAGAATAAAGGCTTTTCTCACACAACCAAACGGAACCGTTTATGCGATAAAAGTTATATTAAAATTTATTTTCCTAATGAAATGCTCTACTTTTTCAATTAAATCTGTTATGCATTTTCTCATAGAATTAACACACAATATAATGGGGGCCCGACTCTCGTGGGCGGCATATATTAGTTGTACGGCTGAGCGCACGAACTGACACAACGGCCAAAGAGATCGCTTTTGATTCCCTGATAATCAGATTTATTTAGCACTTTATTCTGTTGTATATTATAATAAGGGGTATAAACACTGTTTGTGTCAATTATATCACTTATTGACGTGCCGTACACTGCCATCAGTGGCGGAACACCAGTCCCTAAATCCATGTTAAATACTTAACAACAATTGATCGCATCATATAAGCCGACCATTTATTTGTATGAATCACAAACTTGTGATAAATTATCGCACATTTTACTGATATAAACGGATTATATTTCATATTAAATATTGGTTTTACTATAATTTAGTTAAACATTATGTAAATTCTTAGCATTCAATGGATTATTACATTAAATAAATGCACTTTTATTAATATAAAACCGAAATAGAAAAACAAATTTTAGGAAATAATGTATATATTTATGATATGTTTTGAATATATTTAAAGAAAATTGATTTCTATGGGAATACAGTTTAAACAAAAAGTAATTAAATGTTGAAAACAATTCTTTACAAACAAAGAGATGATGTGTAGCGAGAAGTGAGTGAAAGTTAATTGAATTGAAGTAAACGTCAATTGAGATGAAGTGAATGTAACGCCACTTAACCGTAAAAACGATTGTATAGGAAAAGTAGATTGTATTGAATAAAGATGATGTGTAGCGAGAAGTGAGTGAAAGTTAATTGAATTGAAGTAAACGTCAATTGAGATGAAGTGAATGTAACGCCACTTAACCGTAAAAACGATTGTATAGGAAAAATAGATTGTATTGAATAGCGATATTCAAAATACACGCTAAATGTGTTAACAGTGGTGTTTAGCACTCATATCATAGCGTTTTTCGGGGCACACAATACCAGAGAACTAATATTCGTTTAGACAGTAATTAAATTATAAATGCGAGAGTGAGTGAGCAATGAGATTGTGATTTGCGATTACACAACGAGATAACATTCAATTTAAACTAATCATTAAGGATTCGCACCGCTATTATCAGTGCGAGAGAGTCGTGATGGAGATCGTGGAGGAATAAAAACGTTTATTTTTAGGCGAGTTCTACACGTTTTCTGCAGTGCTTTGCAGTTGTATTCCGTGTATAATAATTGTCGAAATGAATCCAATTTTCTATAGTAACTGCCATTTAGTGCCTAATCTCCTAAAAGTACCGCTTTTTGTTATGAAAGCCGATTATAGGCTATCAATAGTATCAATGGTGCTGTCATTCACTCTTAACCATCACAGGGCTCCAGAAGGTGACACAGACTCTCACTATGACATGTGCCAGCCATCAGCCCATGAGCCCGGCCTCTAACAGCCAGGTCTTTGCCAGCCCTCAAACCAACTCTCTGTTTCATTCTCTACCCGTTTCCTCTCCTCTATTATATGACACTTTAGTATTGGAAATGATTCGTTGGATTCCGTATTAATTGTAGGCTTTCTCTCCTGTTTTACACTCAATACTAATCTTTAAATGCGATATAAATCCAAAGGAAGAAGTTTTTAAGAAAAAATAAGTAAATCTTTTTTCATTCCATCAATATTTGTCTTCACATCACATCCAACACAACCCAATGTCAGGACTTTTTTACACATTTGAGTGACAAAAACTAGTTAAGGATTAGTGTGTGTATAGTATGCGGTGTATAGTATAGTAAGGATTGTTAGGTTTGTGAATGACATGTGGGGTGTCATTGGGGTGTCTCCGGCAGTATAAGGAAACCTGAAAACATTTGACTTTTTCCCACAAAACTAATATATTCTGCATTAAAACATATAATAGAAGTGCGAGATATGGCTAAACAACAGTACATATAGTCGGAGGCATTAAAAGTCACAAAAGCTTTGGCTTTTATATTCTGATTCTCTCTCTTTTTTGTCAATGAGTTTCTATGAATAGAGAAATATTTTTCGGCCACTCGTATGCCTATCAGTCCTATCACTCTCACAACCATTGCCTCAAACGCCACACAAATTCAATATGTTTTTCAAAATCGTTTTTCTATTTGATTGTCAGTTAGTTTTTTTGCTGTTTATTTGCAACATAACTGATATTTGCTTATCGTTTCCCCGCAAAAATCATTCGTCAATTTGTGTTTGGGATTATTTGACAGAAATAAATACAAAAATTGTTTGAAATTATTAAATATAAATCAAATTTACTTTTCTTTTTCCCCGTTTAAACCAAAACAAATCGATTCATATTTAAATTAATTATAAATGAGAGAAAAGTCATAATAATTTAGCTAAATATTGAGTGTTAAACAAGATTTGTTATTTTTTGTTGTCTATCGCAGCACTAGTTGTGGTTAATAATTGACAACTAATGGCCTTAAGTATTGAATCAAATGATTAATTATTTCTAATTTTTATGAAAAATTTCTAAACATTTCTCTTCTTATTTATTGTTTGCATTCATTAATTGTTTTTATGATTAAATTTGTCGGAAGAATTTCTGCCCATAAAAGCAGACACTTTATACATAAGTCTAACTAATAATTCATACTAAAAGAGCAATTTATAAAGTTTTTAAAAATAATATGCACGAAAAAACCGGAGCGCTATTTAGCGTATAATAATATTTTATGTAATTAAATTGATTACACATTTATTATTATTAGTATTAACTGTGAATATCAATAGATATATAAATAAACTTTTGGGCGAGAAATCTGATGAAAAACACATTTTCAAATGTCTTATAAATTAAAACTCAAACACGAAATAATAGTTAAGTTTTTGGCAATAAAGCGATTTAAATGAAATATAAGGTGCGCTCGGAATAAGTGCCCCAAAAATATAACCAAACAATTATAGAATTAAAAGCGGAGATAAAAAATAAATAGTTTTACAACTAATAAATTATGAACTTTTCTTTCTCTCTTCAGTTCGTCCGTCTATTTAAAGGATGTTATGATAGAATAGATATATTTTATAAACGCTTTGCGATTACAATAATTATTGTCTTGTATTACACTTGTATTATGCAATTATTTACATTCTCTTATCCTTTTTATTACACCAAATATAGCGCCTCTGCGTCCAGATATCGGCAGTTCATCAACAGTCCCATCAATTTAAGCAATAATCTGCTGAAGACAGGACTGTCCGGACCGGTGTTGGGCGGTCAGCAACCGCCACCTCCACCACCACTACAGGCACCTCCATCTCAACCCTCATCGTTGAGCAGTTTTGTGAAATGGCACACGAGTCTGATGTCCAACAGATAATTTACGATTATATGAGATTAAAAAACAATCCCAAGAATAATATTAGCATTACTTCAAACCACACCCGCATTATATAAACGCATCGAATCCTTGAATATATTTCGCTTTAATGATAGGTCTGTCTCTCTATCACTCTCTGTATATATATACACATGGATTGCTGTATCGGTTACTATACTATACATCGCGTGCCTATCGTTAAGACCTGAACTGATCGCTGGAAAGGTGATAATCACTACACTCTCGCTCTCATTCCAGCTCTAAATCATCTAAACATCACATTTTAATATCAGTGCCACTAATATAACACTATTTTGCACACAATGTCTGAGCTTTTTTCATGATTTCACGCTTCGGTCGGCATTTGATTCTCATTTGATTTGAAAGTCATTTAAAAAAGTGTTGTTCCGCTCTTTTATGTTTGATTTGAGTGCAAAACTTTTTAGATATTAGAAAAGTACACATTCCCTGTATAAAATTCTCTCTCTCTCTCTCTGTTTCCTCTCCTCTATTATATGACACTTTAGTATTGGGTTAGTGTTG